GGCTCCAAAGCCCAGTCCAGGACTGGATCCCAGGGCAGACTTGGGACATAGGGCAGCTGGGCCCTTCCCACACAGGGCCGGAGAGGAGGGAGACCGAGGGATGGAGGGCACAGAGGGCTTCTTTGGAAGCTAATGCCTTGGGCTGCCTGCTCGTGGAGCAGCTCTGTCTCCAGTGCCAAAGTGGCCTCCTCTGCTGTGCCTTACCTGTTCTGGGTGCCCTTTAAACTCTCGTAAATTTTTTTTTTTTTTTAATGAAACGCAGTCTTGTTACACAATTTGGGCTAGCCTTGAACTCACTGTGTAGCCCAAGCTGTCCTTGAACTCAGAATGATCCTCTTGCCTCTGCCTCTCCAGTGCTAGGATGACAGGTGTGTGCCCCCACGGCTGGCTTGTACCTGTATGTCTCCCTTATAAAACTCTGGGACAGATCCCTGCTAAGCTTGGTAAACACAGGAAGTTTCACTATCACAAGGTTTCTTAGCCCTAAATTTACTTTCAAGGCTGAGATTACCCAGATAGGCATAAGTAAGGCAGGTTTCTGAACATTTGGGGAGATCCAACTGGCAGCTTTGACAGTTCCACCCCCTAGGGTGATGCTAGGAGTCTCCAGCCACTGTCTCACTGTGGGGTCACCACAGGACTCCAAGGAAGGGCAGAGCTGAGGCTGCCCTAGGGCATGCCGGGAAGGGCAGCAATTGATGAAATATGCAAACATTATATCTCCCAATCTGTTAGAGGTCTGATACACCAAGTTCATGCTCTCCAAAATGGAAAAATGAATTCTAAGAACAACAGAGGTTAAGAGTAAGAAAATATTTATTAAGGAGGAAAGATATAGCTCCTGAAAGAGACAGAAGGGGACCTGATTTAACAGGAAGTTTTGGGTTTCTTTTCATTTTTTTTTTTTTAATTTACAGGAAGTTTTATAGAGCAAAACCCACATGGGTACAACGTGGGTTAAAGCTGTGATCAACCAATAAGGTTACAAGTGCAGTTGCTCAGGTAATAGTGATCCAATGGGGAAGCAAGTCAGGTAGCAAAAGTATATGGAAAGAACAAAGAACTTCTCAGAAAGGTGATGGATCTGGAGTCTCAGTCACCTTCCCAGGTGACGGATGCCTGTCTAGACTTTACCAGACCAGGTGTTATCACCCACCTCATCCCTTGGGGGAGTATTTATGGCCTGGTCCTTTCGTGGATATTTTGAGGCTTGGTCTCCAACTGAAGTGTCTCTGGCTGCAGTTGTAATGTGTTTTCACCTTTTCTCCTGACTCTCTCAAGGGCTGAGCCCTGTTTGACTGCCTATTATATTTCTCTTTCTTTCTTTCTTTCCTTTTTTTCTTTTTTTTTTTTTTGAGACATGGTCTTATTATATAGCTCAGGCTGGCCTTGAATCTAGGGCAGTCCTCCGGCCTCAGCCTCTTGGCTGCTAGGATTACAGGCCAACTTGGCAGAGTCCATCTTGAACTTTCCTCAGGCCCATCACCTGCTGTGGGTGCCCTTGAAGTAAGGAGGCTGTGGGCAGCCTGGCCTCTCCACAAAGTAGGGCCTTGACCAGCTTCGGGGGGCACATCCGGGCAGTGGACCCCGCGCTGTTCAGACAGGACTCGAGGGGAGTGGCCATCCTGTCACCTCAGGCAGGGAGAGGAAAGAGGGTCCCCCAGGAGCTGCTCTCTGCGGCACCCCTGGCTTGGGGCCACTAGACCCCTATACCTCAGCCTTTTCATACCTGCCATGGCGTGGCAGAGGGCGCAGATGACCCGTGCGGGAGGCGGGGTTGCGCACTTAGCTGCGTGTGCTCTTAGGTGAGGCTGGTGGGTGTGGGAATAGGAGCGTGGGCGCCGAATCCAGGACTGGACCCCATGGAGACTGCTTGCTCTTTGGCCTGGTGTTGGGGAAGCTGGCATGGGGCCTCTGCTAATTGCAGCCAGAGAGCTGGCATGGCATCCCGCCCAGAGCAGGGTGGGTGCGAGTATGGTACCCCCTCACCGCCTTTGCCCTTCCCACCTCTGCCCGCCGCGGTTCCTCCTGTCCGCTCGCCAACGCCGCTCAGTTCAGTCTGCTGGGCTGTGAGTGCAGAGTCCCTTTTGGGGTAAGGAAAAGGTTTTGGAACTGAATGGGGGGGAGTGTGATTGCACATGGTGGAGGTACTGAGTTATTCACTTTCACATGGTTCGTTTTAGCCCTGAGCAGCGGCGCTCGCCTGTACTCCAGCACCCAGTAGGCTGAGGCAGAAGGACTTCCAGTTTGAGACAACCACTCCAGAGCTATGGCCCTTGGGCCCTCTTGCACCTTTGGCTGACTTCATCCCACTGCCTGCTGCCAACGACAGCGTCCGGGATGAGGCCTGGGTGTAGTCAGTGGGAGAGCTCTGACCTGGTGTGTGCCAGACTGGGTCTCCAGATGCAGGTAACAGCTGTCACAGGCGAGCGAGGCCACCTGTGTGATCGGGTGCCGGACCGGCTGCAGAGCACACAGGATTTCTACGAACCATGGTCGGGGTAGACACTCTTCTGCTCAGTGCAGTGGGAGTTATTTATCCATTCATCAAACACTAAGTGCCTATTTGATGCCAGGTCCCGGTTCTAGGCTCCAAATTCAGCAGCGAGCTTGAGGCCTTTCTCAAGCTTACTCAGCCATGAGTAAATTAACATAAATTACTAAAGGGATGGACAAAAAGAAACATGAAATAGTAGCTGTTATTGTTATCCCACAAGAGGTGGGAATTGAATCTACTATTGTTTTGTTTTGTTTTTTGGTACCGAGGATCGAACTTGGTCCTTGCGCTTGTGAGGCAGGCGGCAGAACCACTGAGCTAAATCCCTGGCTATTATTATTTATTTTTATATTTGTAACAGGGTCTTGCTACACAGTTCAGGCTGGTCTTGAACTCACTATGTAGCCCAGGCTGGCCTCGAACTTTGAGGATCCTCCTGCCTCAGCCTTCCAAGTGTGGGGATCATAGGTGTGCCCCACCACACCTGGCTTATTGTTATCCTTAATCTGAGTGATCAGATGTTTCTGCCATAAGAACTCATTGTCCTAATGGAGATGTCAGGTTGCTGCCTTAGATCAGTGATCTGGGCCTCCTCCACGATGAATTGTGTTTCTCACCGAGTCACCTATGCCCGGGTACATGCTCCCCCACCCACCCTTTCCCTTGGCCACTAGATGGCATCTCCAGTGTCAAGAGCAAGCCAGTCCCCCGAAGAACGTACTCCAAATGTGCACCACAGGCCTGCCATTCACTGAAATGCACTTGAGATATTTAGAAACACTATGTCCTTTGTTTTGTTTTGAGACAGGTTATCACTCTGTAGTTCAGATTGGCCTTGAAATCACTACTAGCTCAGGCTGTAGAGATCCTCCAGCTTCAGCCTCCCAATTCTGGAATTATAGGCATGTGCTACCACACCCAGCTTTCTTTTTTTTTTTTTGGTGGTGGTGGGGATCAAAGGGGGATCGAACTCAGGACCTTGCGCTTGTGAGGCAGGCGATGGTACCACTGAGCTAAATCCCCAGCCCAACGGCCAGCTTTTAAATGTCTTTAATAGAAAATGTATGCTACCTTCCCCACACCCCACCCTGGGGATGGACCCAGGGCCTTCACACTGAGCTTCATCCCTGGCCCTCTTACAGTTTTTATTTGAAGACAGGGTCTCACTAAGTCACTATGTTGCCCAGGGTGTGCTCAAACCTGTGATCCTCCTGCCTCAACCTCTCAGAGTCCTGGGATTATGGGCCTGTCTCCCCATGGCTGACCTGGAAAATAAATATGCACTCTGTAGTGTTAGAGGACTTGGTTCCTGGAATTGTGGGGGGCAAGACCCAAAGCCCAACGTGGGGACCCGCCCAGCACACCAAGCTTTCTGGCCACTTGTTTTGTGCTGGTTTTTGTTTACGAAATGCCATTTATTTCATTGCTCTTAATCCGTACCGGCCCAGCTGCATTGTTTTGAACCAAATAGCTTTACTGGGCCAAGGGTAGAGCTTGGGCACAGCGCTCGCCTAGCACAGGCAAGGCCCTGGGTTCCACCCCCAGCACAGCAAAAAATAAGCAAGCAAGCAAACCAACCCAAGTCAAAAACCCTAACCCCATTCCACCAATCTGCCCAGCTGTGAGCAGAGCTTACCACTCTCCTCGATCTTAACAGTACTGTCCCAGAGGCTGAACCTAGGGCTTTGCCCTGAGTGACATTCCCAGCCCTTTCTTTGAGACAAGGTCTAAGTTACCCAGGCTGGGCTTGAACTTGCCATCCTCCTGCTGCCTCAGCCTGGTTCATCACTGTGTGGTGCACAGTTGGTTACGTAGTGGGGGTGGGGTGGGAAGGACATTTGGAAAGGGGTGCAGTGGGGTACCTGGAGTTCCGGAGATGCTGTTTCTGGTTTTAGATATACAGCTGTCACTTGTGAGCTCACTCAGGCAGGCTGATACTTGTGATCTGTATACATACTTTTCCATATGTATATTTTACTTCAAGCAAAAACGAAAATAAAAAGCAGGCAAGTATGCTATGATATATACAAAGATGCTTTTCTCAACATTCCTTATGATATTAAAAAGTTGAGAACATCTTGTATGCATAAATAAGAGTAAATGGGCCAGGTGTGGAGGTGCATACCTGTAATTCCAGCTACTCAGGAGGCTGAGGCAGGAGAATCCCAAGTTCAAGGCCAAACTGGGGAATTTAGAGAGACCACATCTCAAAATAAAAAATAAAAAAAGGGCTGGGATGTAGGTCCATGTTAGAGCACTTGCCTAGCATGTTTAAGGCCTGGGGTTCAATCCCTAGTACTACCAAAAAAAGAAAAAAAATGGTGAGATAAATTATTTGTTTTTTGAATGAGACAGGATCTCACTATGTAGCCCAGGCTGGCCTTGAACTGGTGGCAATCCTCCTGCCTCAGCCTCCCAAGTGCTGGGATAACTGGGTGTACTACCATACCTGGCAAGATTACTTTTAATTTACCCATAAAATAGAATACTATAAATCATTGAATGTTGATAAAGATATATATTTATTCATGTAGAAGTCTTAATTAAACAATATAATAAGAAATAAGTTAGAAAAGAAAAGCGTATTCCAAAATATTAAGAATGGTTATTTCTGGACAGAATCAGCATTAATAAAGGTAAGGAATGTGGGGAGACACGAACTCCTGAGCCCCACACAGACTCTCATCCAGGCTCCTCCACCCCCTGCCACACAGCTCCTTGGGTTATTATTTCTTTTTGTTATTGTTGTTTTGAGACAGGGTCTCACTATGTAGCCCAAGCTGGCCTCAAACTCCCAGCAACCCTCCTGCCTCAGCCTTCTGAGTGCTGGGGTGACAGGTCCATGTCTGGCCTTCCTCGGGTTAATGCGTATGCATAGCCTGATCCCTACCTTTGGGGGAGTCCTAGCAACCCTGACATAAACTCTGTATCTTCTGTGGGAAAGAAATGGGTGCCCCAGATCCTGGCTAGTTTTGGGGTAGTGCCCCTAACTCCCTGACAGGCCCGAGCATCTACGGTGCCACAAGGCCCCTGGGTCACTTTTGAGGTCAGAGTCGCATCTGTGCTTTGGTCAGGTTCTGGGCGGCACCTTGATGGGACCCGGGAGGGGGTGTCCCGGGGGCTGGCCGGAGGCTGCCCTGAGCCTGGCTTGCGCCCCCCGTCCCCAAAGTGCCTCTCGGCCTGTGGCCCTGCTGCACCTGCTCCTGCCGTCCACAGTCCCGCATCTCATGAGGCCCCCGACCACCACTGGACCACAGCCTCCTTCGTCCCCTCTCCGTCTGCATGCAATGCGGTCACTGTGGTGGTTAAGGGTCCCCAGGGGGGTCCAGCCGGTGTCACAAGTTTCAGGGCCCCAGGAACATTTTAGTAACAGTTTACAGGGTCTCCTCTTCCTGTGAGTGCCCTCAGTCCCAGGCTGCGTGAAGACGTCCATGGCTTCCAGAGGACAAAAGCCACCAGCAAGTCCTCGAGACACAAGGCCTCGGCCACCAGGTGGCATCACTGACCCGGCAGGAGGAGCCTGCTGCGTGTCTGTGGGTGTCACTGGCCCCAGCTTTGTCCTCCCTTGGAGCCCGGCCTGTCCCCTGTTCTCCCTTTCTCCTCCTGCTGGATTGAGCTGTGGACAGAGCTTCATTTGGGCCCCGGCATAACAACAGGAAAACCCAAACACTTTCTTTTAACATCTGAGGTTTAAAATCCCCACATCCCAAAACAACCACGAAAATCGCGTGTTGCCTGTTGGTGGCAGCTCTGGGCAGTGCGCAGCGTGTCCCGGGCAGAGCTGGTGGCTGGACCCACCCCGGGAAACCCCAGGGCCCAGCCCCTCAGAGAGGCTACCAGGAACTGCTGAGACCCAGGGCCATTGGGCCAGAGCTTTCTGTTGAGGCCGAGCCAAGCTATTTCTTGTGGAGAAACTTCATTTTGTTGCCTAAGAAAGAAAATAAGGACATTTCACGACGCAGGCAGATTGGTGAGTTAATTGTTGCCCCTTTCTTTTTTCGTTTTTTTTTGGTACTGGGGATCAAACTCAGGACCTTGCACTTGCGAGGAAGGCGGCGGAACCATGGAGCTAAATCCCGGGCCCTGCCCCTTTCTTTTTTGAGACAGGGTCTCATCACTGCATGTAGTTCAGGCGGGCCTTGGGCTTAACTCGGAAGCGCGGGCCTCGAACGTGTGACATCTTCCCGCCTCCGCCTCCCAAGGGCTAGGATTACAGGTTAGGGACAAATCAGCACAGGGCATACAAATGCCATTTCACCCAGCCCACATTATTTTCAGCCCTGGCTTTGGGAAGGAGCGGCTCAAGACCCCCGCAGAGATGTGCGCGCGCGCGGGGGGGGGGCATGGGGCGTGGCCTTACCGAGCCCCTTCAGGAACCGGTTGACACCGCTGTGCTCCCCGATGGGCAGCGTCTCCAGGTACTCCTGGGCGCGCACCTCGAACAGACCTGGCGAGGAGAGAGACCATAGCCCGGTTGCCTCTTCCTCCGTGTGCCAAGCACAGCCCGCACACACGCTGGGGCACCCTGCCCCTCGCACACTGCACATTCGAAAGCAGCTCCTAGGTGTCTACACTACACCAGGCGCACGGTTTCAAAGATGAGGCTGATTCCACCAGGGAGCTCAGGAAGGCTGGGCCCTCGGCTCCCAGCCTCTGTCTCCGTGGTCTCTTCCTGGGGTACCTACCCCTGCTAAGCCTCTCAGCCTCCAACCTGCCTCCCACCTACTGTCAGCACAGTGATAGTAGATGCTGACTGATGGTGGTATTGGGATTGAACTGAGGACCTCTGCACTGAGCTACACCTCCAGGCTTTTAATTTTTTTTTTCAGGACCGTGCAGTGCCACTGAGTTACATCCCTGCCCTATTTTTTTGGTTTTTTGAGACAAAGTCTCACTTTGTAATTCAGGCTGTCTGAACTCACTATGTAGCTCAGGCTGTCCTCAAACTCATGGCAATCTTCCTGCCTCAGCCTCCCAAGTGCTGAGATTACAGGAGTGTGCCACCATACCCAGCTGCCTTTTAAATTTGTATTTTATTTATTGGGGGGGGGTGTTTGAGACAGGGTCTCACTTTGTAGTTCAGGATAGTCCTAAACTCACTATGTAGCTCAGACTGTCCTCGAAGTCGTAGTGATTCTTCTGCCTCAGGCTCCGGAGTGCTGGGATTAGACACTGCCACCATGCCTGGGTTTTTTTTTTTTTTTTTTTTTTTTTTTTTTAATTTTGAGACAGAGTCTCACCAAATTGATAACCTGCCCAAGACAAGCTCAAACTTGCCATCCTCCTGCCACAGCCTTCTGAGTGCTAGGATTATAGGTGTGAGACACACCTGGCTGGTCATGGCGGGTTTTGCAAGGTGGGCAAACACCTGCAGGGTCCTTGTGCAATAAGGGAAGCAGGGTGGGGTTGGGGTGGGGAGGTCAGGCGGGGCCTCAGCACAGCTCTCTGGCAGGTGGTGCTGCGCCCACACCCACACCCTCAGGACGCACTGACCTTTGGCACCCTGGCACCACAGCTCTCGGTCCTGCACAAAGCCCCGGAAGGTCTGCGTCTCCATGAAGACCTCAAGGAAGCTGCGCAGGCTCTTGGAGGACACCGCCTTGCGGAAGGCCTCCCGCTGCAGGGCCCGCTCCTCCCACTCGCCTGCGCCGGGTGTCAGGAACAGAGAGTAGTGGCCCACGACCTCCACAAAGAAGCGCACGAAGGCCTCAGACACCACTTCACTCAGGGGGCTGCACTCCGGGCCTGGAGGGGAAAGGAGCTGGGGCATGTGGGTCTGGAACAGCCAGGCAGAGGCCACCTCCATGGCGACACCCTCCCCTCACCCCCCAGCCTGCCCCCGAAGAAGAAGGTCGTTCAGCCACTCCTATTCTTTTTCGCTTTTGTTTTGGTTTTTTGAAACAGGGTCTATGTAGCTCAGGCTGGCTTTGAACTATGTAGCCCAGGCTGGCCTCGAACTTGCAGCAATCCTCCTGCCTCAGCTTCCTGAGTGCTGGGGTTACAGGCATGCAGCATCATGCTCAGCTCTAGCCATTTCTTTGCCTCTTTACAGACACTGTAGGGCCACCCTGGGGATGGTGGGGAATTCTCCCCATAATTCAAGTCTTGAATGAAATCTGGATACGAGCAGTACACCCGCCTTCCCTCCGGTGTCTCCGCCCATTCTCCCAAGGGCCCGAGGCGCAGCAGGAGCGGCCTTTACCGTGCTCAAAGTCTGGGGACCCTCCATCCTGGTCACAGGCCAGCTCATTTCTCTGCTCCAGAATGTGCTCCAGGGCCACCTGCAGCTTCCGGGGCAGAATGGAGTCCTCATCCTCCATCTGTGCAGCAGAGAGGCACGGCAGGCAGCTCAGCAGCCAGTTTATTATTATTTTGAGACAGGGTCTTGCTATGCAGCTCAGGCTGGCCTTAAATTCACTATGTAGCCCAGGCTGGCCTCAAACTTGAGGCAATCCTCCTGCCTCAGCCTCCCAAGTGCTGGGATTATAGGCATGTGCCACCACACCCAGCTCTCCATGTGTACCATGGGCTACCCGTGGACAGTTCCCTCACTGTGAAGAAGCAATGCCGTATAGTCCCCTGGGCAAGTGGCACTAGGTGGATATGTGTGCCCCAACCCCCCAGCCACAGCTGTGTGATCAGGCTGCGCAGGCCCTGGGCCTCAGAGCCCAAGGGTCTCTGGGAGGAGAGGAGAAGGAACTAATGATAAACTCTTCAACCAGCAACCCCAAGCATACTGCTGTCAGAAAGCCAGAGCACCTTTCTGTGATCAGTCTCCTTTCTCTTTTCCCTTTTCTGTGGTTCTGGGGATTGAATCTTCGGACTGCATCTTTTCTGTCCCAGCCCTTCTATTATTTTTTTTGGTACCAGGGATCGAACTCGGGTCCTTCCACTTGCAAGGCAGGCGTCGAAACCACTGAACTAAATCCCCGGCCCAGCCCTTCTTTTAAATTCAGAGATGGGCTTGCTAAGTCACTAAGATGCCCAGTCTGGGCTTGAATTTGTGATCCTCCGGCTCAGCCTCCAGTGTAGTTATTCTTTGCAAGATTTGAGAGCAGCCAGAGCTCTCAGACAAATAATAAAAAATACGTGTATGTTACTTTCATAATGAAAGTAATTTGTGATCATTTCAGGCAAATACATGAAACAATTAGAACACTTTTTTTGTTTTTTGGGTTTTTTTTGGTACCGGGGATGGAACTTGGGTCCTTGTGCTTGCGCAGCAGGTGGAGAATAGAACACTTTAAAACCACTAAAAATCTATTTGCCTGTTTCTCTAAGGCATCAGCATTAATGTTTTGTTGGGCTTTCCTTTCAATCTTTTTTTTTTCCTCTCTTTTTTTTTTGGTAATAGGGATCGAATTCAGGACCTTGCGCCTTGAAGGCAGGTGGCAGAACCACTGAGCTCAATCCCCGGCCCTAATGTTTTGGTTTTCTTTTGAGACAGGTCTGCTATGTGGCTCAGGCTGGCCCTGAACTCACTATGTGGCCAAGGCTGGCCTTGACTTTCGGGGATCCTCCTGCCTCAGCCTCCTGAGTGTCAGGATTAGTTGTTGGCCATCATACCTGGCTTCTCTTTCTTTATAAAAATATAGTAGCAGTGGCTACCTCAGTGATAGTGTTTTCCTAGAAGTCCAAGGCCCTAGGTTCAATTCCAGCACCACAAAAGCAATCCCCCCCATGCATGTAATCTTGTGTCCTGATTCTAATTGTTAGAAAATCCTTTCTTGCCAGTACGCAAGGAAATCAATCCTTGGCCAGTGCCCTCCCCTTTGCCCTCACCTGTCTCATCCCCCTCCCCGGGGCCTTTCCGGAAGTGGGGAGCTGAGCCCCAAGGACTGAGAGGCAGAAACAAAGGGTTTAGGGCTGGGCCGGGCCCCCTCACCTGCCGGAGGAAGCGGTTGTTGATGAGGTCAACCACCAGGACCTGCAGACAGAGGAAGGGGCCAAGTCACCAGGCTTCGGGGACACACGAGGACCAAGTCCTCCCCGTCCTCTTGGTGGCCAGAGGCGGTTGGCCAGGGGCCCCATGGTTCCCTCACATGGAGCGGCAGGAGGGCTTCCCACCCCAAAGTACAGCGGGGCTCACCTGTGCATTCCGGCTGCACCCCCTGCCCTGCTGCTTTGTTTTGTTTTGTGGTGTTGGGGTTCATACCCAGGGTCTCTGCACTGAACTACATCCCCAGCCTTCTTTCCGTATTTCGAGACAGAGTTTGGCTACATCACCAAGCTGCCCAGGCTGGGCTTGAACTTGTGAACCTCTGGCCTTAGCCTCCCGAGTGTTGAGACTACAGGAGTGTGCCACCATGCCTGGCTTTGGAGGTTGTCCTTTTAACTGATGGGACAAAGGACCTCCTAGAGGTGCACGCCCTCATCCACTCTGTCTCTGGTTCAAACACATCCCAGCTACATGAGCTCTGTGTGCTCAGTGCCGGTGGAAGGGGAAGGGGTCACCAGGACAGATGGCCATTTCTGCCATCAGAGCTCTGATGCTGGGCTAGGTTGTCCACAGACACCTCCTTTAGAGGGGACAACAGCGCCTGGAGTCACCAAAGGGCTGGCTGAGTCTGGCTCCAAGCAGGACTGTGCAGACCAAGCCTCCCCCACCACACCTCTCCTGGGGCCACAGGACAGGCGGGTGCCTCACCTCCTCCAGCGGCAGCTCTTGCAGCAGCGGCAGTGAGCTGGCCAGCAGCCCGATGAGGAAGGGCGTGGGCGAGCACACGATGTCGATCATGGCCGGTGGCAGCACAGGGATGTAGGTGTGCTGCCAGCTGAAGGGGTAGATGAGAGCCACCATCGCGTGGCAGCACTTGGACAGGGTGCTGTGCCGAGAGATGGGTGGAGAGGCCGTCAGCGAGGACCCGAGGCCAACGGCTGGGCACGAGATGGGACTCAGCCCAGGCAGGGTGGGCAGGTGGCTTGGAGGACAGCAGCAGAGCTGATTCCCCACCCCAGGAACTCACACGTGGGCTCTGCGGGGAGTTGAGTTTTTGGGTTTTGCAGTACTGGGGGTTGAACCCAGGGCCTTTGCACTGAGCTCCGTCCCCAGCCCTTTCTATTTTGTATTTTGAGTCAGGGTCTCCCTAAGTCATTAAGTTGCTCAGGCTAGGCTCGAACTTTCCATCCTCCCACACCTGGGTCCCCATAAGTTTGGATCAATCATTTCCCCACCAAAACAAAACCCACAACAATCCCTTCATTAGGGTACCAGGTGCTGGGTCCCCAGGGAGGCAGTGCTGAAGTGGGAGATCATCAAGCCCTGGGGCTCCTGGCCATGAATGGGTCCTGCTGTCCAGGCAGGGCAGGCCTGGTCCCATGAGACGGGGTGTTACATGAGTGAGCCTGGTCCTCTTTGCTCCTTGAGTCCATTCCCTTTCCAGTCACAGACACTGCCATGGCTGGATGACCAGGGATGACCTTGCCAAGGAGGTGGCACCATGGAGTCAGGAGCCGACCATACCTCTTTATAAAGTACCTGTCCTGGGTGCCTTGTCATAGCAACAGAAAACCAACTGAGATGACAGCTAAAACCTGTTTTCTCATGGACATTCATTTTCTTTCTATTTTTTTGGTACTGGGGATCGAACTCAGGACCTTGCGCTTTCGAGGCAGGCGCTGGAACCACTGAGCTAAATCCCTGGCCCACTCATTTTCTTATTGCAGGTGCTTTTGTTTGTTTTCTTGAGACAGGGTCTCATTATGTAGCTCCGGCTGGCCTTGAATTCACTATGTAGTCAAGGCTGGCCTCAAACTTGTGAGGGATCCTCCTGCCTCAGCCTCTGGAGTGATGAGATGACAGGAGTGGGCTGCCACACCCCCACTTCCAGGTGATTTACATTCCATCTACATTACAATCCTGCAGTCTTTCCTTTGCTCCATTCCCCACATTGTCTCCACCAGGCATGAATACCTTGGTGCAATCAGGAAAAATGAGGACAAGGCCTTGGTAGTCACAGGCCAGCAATCAGCTAGCTGCACATAGATCCACTGGGTAAAAGCCGAGCTCAGATACTGTTACCCTTGCCCAGAACTCTGGCCAAATGCTAACACGGTTAGTGACCAGGGAGAACTCTTTTTTCTTGTTGTTGTTTTGAGACAGGTCTTGCTATGTAGTTCAGTCTGGCCTTGAACTCAGGTGATCCTCCTGCCTTAGCCTCCTGAGTGCTGGGATAATAGGCTTGCACCAACACGCCTGGCTTTGGTTAGGAAACTTATGGTGCTACCTGCTGCAATGATCTGGACTTTGAATGCCCCCAAAGGCCCCTGTGTGAAGGACTCTGGATGATGGTGGCCTCCTTAGGAGGTGCAGCCTGGTGGAGGAAGTTGGGTGGGAGTCCCTAAAGGAAACCCTGGCCCAGCCCCATCCCCAGCCCCAGCCTGCCTCTTTGGCTTCCCAGCCACCATGAAGTGAGCAGCTCCTTGTTCCATGAGCTCTCACCAAGAAGTTCAGACTCACTGCAAGCCCCAAAGGCAACAGAGCCAACGGACCATGAGACGAAACCTCCAAAACCGTGAGCCAGACAGACCTTTCCTATGCCCAAGGTTACTGCTTCAGGCCCTCTGTCAGCCTGCGGGCAGCTGAGCCAGCAGCTGTGCATGGATGAATGCCAGGTGCCTGTAATCTCAGTGCCATAAAACTTCCCAGAGCTTGTCAGGAATCATTGAGGGGGTGGTGGCGCATGCCTGTCTTCCCAGCACTCTAGGAGGTGGAGGCAGGAAGATCCTAAATTTGAGACCAACCCAGGCAATTTAACAAGACCTGTCCGTGGGACTGCATAACCTTTGTTCCTTTTTCTCCAGCCCCATTGTGATTAAAATGTGAGTTAATAGATGGAGATGCTTGTTAGTTTAGGGACGCTAGATAGGGATCTGTAACAGACCTAGAGTCCCAGAGTAAACTACTCAACTCTTTGTTTACCCGGAACTGATATTCCAGGCACCACAATTGTTAGAACAAGTTGCAGATGTCTGCTGACCATCAATATGTGACAGTCGACCACTAACCTTTGTCCCCTTTTCTTTAATTCTGTATGTTAACTTCCCCCTCAACCCCCTATAAAAACAGCCTCGGATTCTGAGCCAGTTGCCTCTCTAAGCTATTTTGCTTTGGGAGTGCCGTCTGGCCAGACTAATAAAGGTCTGTTTTCCAACTTGTCCGGTGTGTTCCTTCCCGGGTGTTCTTCGCTGTAGTCAGCTCCTTGGAGCGTTTGGTAAGGCTCTTGGTCTTACATTCTGAAGGCACCGCTGGGATTCCTGGGTGTGCTTCACTAGTCAGCTCCTCAGAGCGTTTGGTAAGGCCCTCGGTCTTACAGTCTCAAAGAAAGGGGCTGGATATGTTGTGTAGTGGAAGCCCTTGGGTTGGATCCCCAGTACCACAAGAAGAAAAAAGCTACAGGAAGAAAGATGAAATGCATTCAGTGAACTGGAATCAGTGAGGTAAGGGAACAACTGTATCCAAGTCTGATAAGGACAAAGGACTACTCAACTGGTGACCTGCTGGCTGTGAAGGTAGGTGACCTAGGTGACCGTTTCTTGTAAGGAGAGCTTTTGGCTTTGTTTAATAATCAGATTGCCCTGCAGCTAGAGCCAGAAGTTTCCACACCTGACTATCATCAACAACTTGAGACTGGAGGCGGCAGGAGCAGCAGAACAGGGGCTGTTGGAGCTGTGGCTCATCCCTCCCGTGCTCTAGCCCCCCACACTGTTCTAAAAAGCCTGTGCAACAGGAAAAGCAAGGGTAAATTCTGCAGACATGACAGAACTCCTGCCTTAAAATAGGTAGTAGAGGAGGAAAGAAAGGATTCTTTTGAGTGCAGCATGTTTTTCTCAATCACTGCTGTAAAAATTCTCTAATTGTTTGTTTTTTTGAGGGAGGGTCTCATGACATAGGCTGGCGTTGAACTTGTGGCAATCCTCCTGCCTCAGCCTCCTGAGTGCTGGAATCACAGGCATGCACCGCCATACCTGGCTCATTCCCCACCCAACTTGTGAAGCATGGAACTGTTAGGGGAGCCAAGGTTGACGCTTCAGGGCTTGATGGAGAGCAAGGCTGGCTGCAGGAGCCTGCAGTTTTGAAGTCAGCTATCTGGAAGAGTCCCTCGCAGCTGGCTTGCAAGCACTGGGGGTGGAGGAAAGAAACCAGCACGGCAGCAGTGCCCTACTGTACATCAGCAGGGAAGGGAGGACACCCCCGGGGGAAGGTGGCCACAGAGCTCTGGACAGGCACCCAGCAGAGGGCCTGGTCCTAGAATGCTTGCTCGCTTTGGGAAGATCAGGATGCACTGCGGGGGCTTCGGTTCTCCTAGACTGGGTCCTGTCCACTCCCCAGGCTCGATGCCATCCTTGAGGCCCGCGAGCATGTGCTAAGATACGACCAGGACAGTCAATGCCCTTCCCAACTCAGACCCCCCCCAGAATGGGAAGGATGACTAGATCGGTGCCTCCAGCTTCCCAACAGGAAGAGGAAGGAAAGAAAAGCTCAGGTCTGGGCCTGGTGAAACTTGTGGGAAGTGGCTGTCACCTTGCAGATTTTTAAATCCAGAAATAAGGTGTTCATTTTATTTTTTGGTACTGGAGATTGAACCCAGGGCCGTTACACTGCACTACATCCCCAGCCATTTCCTGTATTTTTTGAGACAGGACCTTGCTAAATCACCTAGGCTGGGCTTGCATGTTCGATCCTCCTGCCTCAGCCTCCCAGGAGTTCTGGGACTACAAGTGTGTACCATCATGCCTGGCACGTGGCTAAACTGAGTTTAAAAAAGACACAGGCTGAGCCTCGGGAATTTGCTTCCCGTGTGATCTCAGGAAGAGCCTGTCATCTCTCTAGGGCTCAGATTCTTCTGCAGATGAGATAATCTCCAGTATCCTTCGGCTTTACCATCTACCAATCCTGAGTCTGAAAGAGCACGAGCCAGGCCAGAAGTGGTATCTTTCTGCGGGAGCCACAGAAAGAACCAGGGCTGGCACAGGAAGGTCAGGCGAGGGCTGCTCAGGGGGCTCCAGACAGGAACGACGCAGACTCGGCACTCTGAGAATCTAAGAGGTACCGGGTCAGAGAGGCTGGAGCCACCACATGGAAAAGGAAGACAAGACATGTCGCCGCTGCGGCCTGGGGCTCCCTGGCCCTGGCAGCTGTGTGCTTGAGTTAGAAGACAATGGCACATGTGGCTGTGCTCTTGCTCCAGATGCTAATGTCTTGGTGTCTGCACGCCAAAACAGGTGGCTACTATGTAGTCAGAATGTACTGTTGCTATTCCGTGGTTTTTTCAGGACTTTGAGGAATTAAATGTATCTGTCTCTAACACTTTGTCAGGCACGCTGAGGACCAGCCAGACCTCCAAGGGAGTTGTTCGGCTGCCAGAACAGTGGTGACAGCTGCTGTCACCTGCAGGGAGGCCTGGGCCAAACTCAGCCACAGGAGGCCATGCTTACACACCTGTGACACTGGAAAGCATGCAGGATCCCATGGAACCCTGTAAACACTGAAAATGAACTGAAAGGAACACCTGGGAATGATGGCACATATATGTAATCCCAGCACTCCAGAGGCTGAGGCAGGAGGGTTGCCAGCCTGGATTACACAGTGAGTTCAAGGCCAGCCTGGACTACATAGTGAGACCCTGTCTCAAAAAAACAAAAGAATGAAAAAGGAACACAGCCACACACACACACTTATTTGTGTGGTTACCCCGATGTCAGAGCTATGGCTCAAACTCCAGTACACTATTTGTCAAGATTTATCACCTAATCCTATTTATCCTTAGCTAGTCCTCTGTCTTTCAGCATGTGATTTATTACACTACAGAAGACAGAAAGTGACTTTTTTGAGTATTAAAAACTTGGTGCTAAAACTTTTATATAAACTTGTATATGTGCAATTCTGATGTTATTTCTTTTTTTGGTACCAAGGATCGAACTCGGGACCTTGTGCTTGCTAGGCAGGCAGCAGAACCACTGAGCTAAATCCCCTGCCCCAATTCTGATGTTATTATTAGGCCTGGGCTATAGGGTTAGCCAAACTTTTTGGGACTGAAATGAGTAAACTAAAAACCAAAATGTTCATCATCAGGAAAATGACGGCAGGGGGTAGTGGGAAATATTTATCTGAGTTGCTAGGGCGACAGAGTAAGCCATCACACCAACATCCCCCCCTTTCCATCTGTCAGGCCTGGGCTTGACACAGCCTTTAGAAACACTCAGTGTCCACCCTAACAATGAAACAGAGCGAAAATGTTATTTTAAATCTGATGGATTTTGGGCTCAACTTGAAACCCTTTTCTAACTCATACAATATTTGCCACAACTCCTTGCAGTTTCCTCACTGTGGGCAGACTCTCTAGCAATGGTGACTAAATACCGTGAGTTGTGTTTATGGGGGAGAGCTCTGGATGTGGGTGAAGGCCCACTTGGGGATGTCATGGGGCCACTCATGGGGCTGGTGACACATCCTGTTCTCATGCTCTGCTCTGGCCTCACAAGGAGCTGAGGAGGCTTCCACCCTCGCAGCTGAGCAGGGCTGGAATGGGCACATGAGCAGTCCAATGTGAGGGATGCAGCAGGCAGCTGTGACTTAGGCTGGAGGTTTTCCTCAGGGGATTTTCCAGGTCAGGAAACTTGCAGCCAGCCACTGTTCCTCAAGCCCTTGCTTGTTTAGACCTGGCCAATAGGCCAGGGATTTAGCTCAATGGTTCTGGTACCTGCCTTGCGAGCACAAGGTCCCGAGTTCGATCCTTGGTACCAAAAAAAGTATCTAGACCTGGCCAAAGAACCCTTGATCTCCTGCGGGTCCTTGGCCATAAATCAAGCACAGTGAGGTGGGCACAGATTTCTCCTGTCCTGAGGAGTCCGAAAACTTCAGAGCTGAGAGACTTTGGGGTCCCCAGTTGCACCTGCGTCACTGGGGCCTCTGCTGGAAGGGCAACGGCGACTGCTCTGACAGGGGTCCTGACAGCCTGCTCTCCAGGCTTTCCCTTCTGTGAGGTGAGATGAAAAACACTGGATGTCTACATTTGAAAGAATTTATTAGGGTAAAAAACATTAACTCTCCTCAAAATCCTTCCTCTTGCTTTGAACACACTTACCCCATTGGTCTTGTTGCTTTCTGAAGCAGTTCTGCAAGTTCTCTTTCATGAGTGTCTTTAGTTGCACTGCTGTGGCTGTCTTGATGTCCTAAATCGCTTCAAAATGTTTCCCTTTCATGGTCATTTTGACATTGGGGAAGAGCCAGAAATCCCACGGTGGCAGATCCAGTGAATAAGGTGGATGAGGATGAGGACACAGCACCATGGTTTTATGAGGCTGTCTTCCCCTTGGATGGCATTCAGAAGCAGCATCCACCTCATAAAGACACTCAGGAATGAGCACCTCCAGAACTGCTGCAGAAGGTGGCGAGAATGATGGATCAGTGCAAAGTGAAAGGAGTATTTTGAGGGGGTTAATGGCAATGTGCCTCTGACTGTAATAAAATGTTTAATCACTCACTGTATATTTCCTTGTATATCTATGTGAAGATGGGGCCCTAGAGCCTGCCGGTCATTCACCCCCAGACCACTGTGGCTCAGCCAGTTTCCCCTGTACCCTGCAGAGTCAGGCAGTCTCGTCCTGGAGCAAAGTGCCAGAAACTCTGTGTGGTCAGAGCACACACACAGGGCTGAGGACTCAGGTCAGACCTGAGGCCATGCCTGGGCAGGGGGATGTCCAGGGGCACCTCCCAGGGTGATGAGGACAGACGGGCAGGCATGGAAGTTGGAAAGGGTCTCAAAATGCAATTAAAGCACTTTACACACATACACATGCACATACGCACAATCACTACCGAACCATGGCTAAGCTCTGGCCCCACAGAGGGCATTCAAACAATTCCTGTTCCTGCTACCTACTCATCCCCAGGAGGAACCATCTCTGCAGTGCTGTCTACATCTGTCACACACCATGGTGACAACTGCCCGTACCCTGCTGGCCACTTGCCCCTCTCCTGGGCATGCACTATTGGAAGAGGCTGAGTCTCCAGGGCAAGACGCCAGCCCACACAAGGTGGGTGATGAGACATCTCCCAAGTCTTCCTGTTAGCCCCCTGGGGCACCTGGTCACCTCTGTAAACCACCCTGGACAGGGCAGAAGGGGTTGGGGAACTACTGAGGCCCTTTATCCTGTGTCCCTCGCAACAGTAGCTCTGCAGCAGGGGCTGACCCAGCCTCAGCCCGGCCGACCCCAAGTCTGTCCAGGCCAAGGTAGAGGCGGCCTCATCTTCTCCTACAGCTGGGGATCCCTGAACCTTCAGACCTTCACATATTGCCCTACAGAGAGGGGCATTTGTCTGTGACAAGCCCACCCTGGGGACGCAGGGCCTTCAGGAGAATCAGGACGGTCACCACAGTGCTGGTGGGACCCGATCTGGTCACCAAAGGGTTACTACTCACCCCCGCCTCCAGGTGCAGCTGCGAACTCCCGGCCAGGCCCGCACTCCCAGTGCTCGGGAGCTGGAGGGCTGCCCAGTGCCTACAGCAGCTGCTGGCCGAGAAACTGCATGGGAGCACAGCGCTGGTGACACTTAAAAGGGAACGGTGACCTCTAGTACAGGGTGGGGGCAGTGGGGACCAGCCCAAGGGCCACTGTCCAGAGAGAAGCATCACAAAGGTGACCAGATGGCTTCTGTGAGGAGCAGCCAGGGCGGGTGCCACTTCCTCCCTGCCCCTAGTGGGGTCTGAGTGGATACTTTGCCCTCGTCATTCTTCTCTCCGTTCTTCTTCCTCTCTTTCGTTTTCCAGCTCAGAGGCCTATTTCCTCTCCAAACTGCAGCTCCTTAGTGTGTTTGTTTCTGGCAGTCTTCCTGGGCTCACAGGCCCGCTCTGTGCTCTGGGTCCCCTAGAGGAGCTCACTCCGGGTCAGAAATCTGAGATGATGCCATGCAAGGGAGTCTTCCTTGCTGAACAGATCAGAATTCACCCACAGGGTACATTACACCTGCAGGTCTTCCAGGGTTTTGATTTGTGATATGGCCTCTGCAAGCGTAGACTTGACATGCACAGCAACCTCCTGGGCTGTGAACAGTGTGTGTGACCATGTGTGATCTGGTCAGTTGCTTTATTTTGGTTTTTTTTTGGTACCGGGGATTGAACTCGGGACCTTGTGCTTGCGAGGCAGGTGCTGGAACCACTGAGCTAAATCCCTGGCCCAGCTTTATTTTGTTTTTTGAGAAAAGTTTCACTATTATAGTTCAGGCTGCCTTTGGCCTCAAACTCGTAGCGATCCTCCTGCCTCAGCCTTCTGAGTGCTGGGATTACAGGGTGCACTACCACACCCGGCCAGAACTCACTAACAACCTTCATCACGCAATGCACTGTGGTCCCCTTACTCCCGTTCCCTTTCTGGATGGGGGACTCTGGAGGGGGCCTGTGTCAACACTTCTTTGCATATAACAACGTGCCTACCTCAGTTTACCTAATGGCTGCGGCTTCCAAACCTCCAGCCTCAGTGCCCATCTCTGCTGCCCACCCCACATGGCTCTGCAGCCTAAGCACAGGCCCCTGCTGCTGCCATCCACGCCCGAGTGCACAAAGCACAGTACCTGAGCTTGTCTGCGATGAAGATGACCCTCCGCTCCAGGAGCAGCGAGGCGAACACACACACCAGGTGGCGGACGCTGAGCGAGGAGAAGAGCGGCTCAAAGTCCACGTGCTCCAGCCGGGAGTCCAGCGGGCGGCACAGCTCGATGACCTGCCAGGGAGCGGGACAGCTATGGGGGCGTTCTCAGCCCGGCCTCTCCCAGGTCTCCTGGGCTCTGCGTCCTCAGCAAGGGGAGAGAAGAAAGAGAAAAGGGGAAAACAAAAGGGGCTGGGGAGGGCCGGGGATTTAGCTCAGTGGTTCCACCGCCTGCCTCGAAAGTGCAAGGTCCCGAGTTCAATCCCTAGTACCAAAAAAGGGGGGGGGGGCTGGGGAAAGAAGGGTTCCAGGGGAGCGGGAAGGGGTGCATGGGATGGGGAAGCAGTTGGAGGGGTGCGGTCCTTGGCAATGTCCCCAGGTAACAGTAGGCTCCCTGCAGAGAGTGCCCTATGACTGCTAAAAACTTCTCACCACAGATTCCTGGGGGACTCTTCTGTCTCAAGGAGGACCATTAATTAGCTGGGGCAGAACCTCAGGGGCCTAGAACATGCCCGGCAGGCTCCAGCAGCATACCCAGGACCCAGTCCTTCAATGGGCATTGCCCTTCTTTTTCTTTTGTTTTGCAGTGCTGGGGATGGAACCCAGGGCCTGTCACATGCTATGCAAGTGCTGTGCCCCTGAGCCCCACCCTAGCCCCTAGCATGCATGCATTCATTCATCATTCATTCAATCAATCAATCATTCACTTATAGACAGTATCTCAGTCTCCTGAGTGCTGGGATTACAGGTGTGCACCACCATGCTGGGGCCTACCAAGCATTTCTTCAGGGCATCCAGTGCTGGAAGCTGGGCTAGTCCTAAAGCTTCCAGCCCCAGCCCTGCCCGTCCTGTGTCCCCAGCAGTGGCCTGGGTTATCAGAGCGGCTGGGATGGGAGATTGAGGCTGTAAGCCGTGGATGGGAAGAATAAAAACAAACTTTATCACATGTTAGCCCAGCCAAGGAGGGGACAAGCTTCAAAGTCTGCGATGAATGAAAGTAGCACCTGAGCTTGTCTTCCCCACAAAGGATCTGTTTTACACTATAAAGTTGTGCAGGTACAGACCAAAATGTAAATATGAGAGACACCCCAGCGCTTTTTCTACTTTTTGAGACAGGATCTTGCTAAATCACTAAGTTGCCCAGGCTGAGCTTGAACTTGGGATCCTCCTACCTCAGCCTCCCGAGTGCTGTGATCACTGCATCCGGCAGCCTGCTGAGCCAGCCCCTCTGCCCACTGTGACTCTGCCACTCACCTCGGTGCCTGACCCTGGCAGGAAGTTCTTGACCACAATGGTCTTGCCCAGGGCGGGGAAAGGGGCTTCCATGACGCTCCTCATGAGGGGCTGCACGAGGGCTGGAGAGATGCGGCGTCTCTTCTCCACCTCATCCAAGATCTGCAAGGGTCAGGAAAGCTGCTCAGCTAGGCTGTGGCCGGGCAACAGGGGGCAGTGCCTTTCCGGAGGATGAGGGCCTGTGTGTGGCTCAGACCTGGGCCCAGGCTCTCAGGTTCTTTGAGTTATTGCTCCGATTCTTCTCCTTCCACCTATCCTCTCCCTCAGCCCTGAGACGCTGTAGCTCCTGTTGTTGGTAGGGGGTACCTTGCCCTTTTGACCTTGGGCTTGACATGTGACTGACTGGGCTAACTCCTATGTTTTGTTCGCTCAGGAGCTGGGATGGAATCCAGAGTCTCACACAGCCCAGTCAAGTATTCTATACCTAATTTCTTTCTTTCTTTTTTTGCTTTTTTGAGACAGGGTTTCGCTATGTAGTTCAGGTTGGCCTGGAACTTGTGATCCTCCTGCCTCAGCCTCCTGAGTGCTGGGATGACAGGCTTGCCCCACTATGTCCAGCTTCTATACCTAACTTCTTCTTTTTTTTAAATAGCAAAACATTTATTGGTACATTTTAGGCTTACATGATGCTAACACTCTACCTAACTTCTGAGATCAGTATCACATAGGACAGCACTTGTGTCCTATACACCAATCCAGAACACTGTGGCAGCTAAGCTGACTCAATATGGCGATTCCTATGCGTCACACACTTTTTCCAGGAAAGAGGCCCACATTATATTAATACTTTAATAAACTTACACACTGAAATACACATATATACGTCAATCACAGGTGTCTTTTTTTTTCTAGCAGAAACTAATTTGACACAAAACAATGCTAAGGGAAAGAAACTAAACCCCCTGGCATATTCTGGGAGGATCCACCCCTCCCTCTCTCAACTCCATTTCCCTGCCCCCTTCTCTACTTCCTGGGGCTGGCCCTCCTCTGTTCTGACTTTCTCCTGGGAGGGAAGAGAAGGGAGGGGAAGGGGAAGGCAGCAAAACAGAACAAGACTGTGAAGTACTGGGAGCTTCGCATGTTCCTGGGTCCTCTGGGCCCAGCCCTTCCTTCCCCCTCTCCTCTCCCCTGTCTCTCTCCTTTTTTAGTACTGAGGATTGAACGAGGGCCTTTGTGCTGTACTACATCCCCAGCCCTTTTCTTATTTTTGTTTTTTCTGAGACAGAATCTGGCTTAGTTGCTAAGTAACTTGCAATCTTCTTGCCTCAGTTTCCCAGAGTGTGGGATGGCGGGTATGCACCACACCTGGCTTCCCCTTGCTTTCTCTGAGGTCCAAATTCTCACCTTTGAGAAGAGGTTGAAGCAGCCCAGGCGGCTCACGATGCAGTACACCTCAGGCAGGCGCTTCCCTTTGCCTCCAGGCTGGAGAGAAATGCAGGCCTTCAGGAGCATTACCAACCATGGGGAGGCAGACCCAAATGCTTTTGGGGTCTATTGCATACCATTTCCACACACCATAGTTTTTGCTTTTTTTTTTTTGAGACAAGGTCTCACTATGTACTTCAGGCTGGCCTTGGTATGAAGCCCGGATTGGCCTTGAACTTACAGTAATTCTCCTGCCTCAGCCTCCTGAGTGTTGGTAGCTTTTTTTGTTTGTTTGTTTGGTACCAGGGATCGAACTCAGGTCCTTGCACTTGCGAGGCAGGCGGCAAAACCACTGAGCTAAATCCCCGGCCCTGAGTGTTGGTAGCTTTTAAAAACCAGTGAGGCATGGGTCGCTGCCAGGCAGCACCTCCGGTCACTGTGTGTCTATGTTCCCCTTCTCTGCGGCCCCTTCTAGGGTATGGCACACGTCCCACTAAGTAAGGAGGCCGGGCCATACCTGCTGCGTGAAGTTCCTCCTAAGGAGTCATTTTGACACCTTTAGAATGACCATTCCAAATGAGAAGTTATTGCTGAAGATCTTTTTGGAAACTGACTCTTAAGCTCATTTTCAAACCAAAAGGGAAATCAACCTTGATACCTTTAAGCCTAAAGTAATTTAAATGACACAATTTATCAACCTGCTTAACTTTTCAATCATCCATGCTTTTTACCTGGTATTTAATCCACCAGATATTTATTGAATGCCTACTGTGACATGCATTACTTGACTCTTAAAATTTTTTTTTTTTTGGTACCGGGGATAGAACTCGGGTCCTTGCGCTTGCGCAGCAGGTGGTAAACCACTAAGCTAAATCCCCGGCCCAACTCTTAAAACTTTTTAGCCTGTTTCTAAGGCTCAAATGAACTGAGTGGAAAGAGATTTCCACTACTAAACATTTTCAAAAGAATGGTCCTCCAAAAGTCAGGCCCTAAAATGCTGTAGTGTGATCTCTCCGAATCATTTCTGGACTCTGGCAGACGACTGCCCCAAAGGGGACACTGGCGTGGCCTTTGTCTCCTGAGCAGCCCCTTTGAGTGTTCTCCCTAAGGAATCCCTGCCGGCGGGGGGGGGGGGGGATTAGAAAGGACACTTATCTTAAGGATGGACACGTGTTTAATTTGGTGAGAAAACAATAGAGAAAATATTTTCTTTCTGATGGGAACAATTACTTTTGCTTACCAATAAAATGCAGGTGAGGCCCCAGCCTTTCTGTATATATGGTTCTTATTTTATTTATTTATTTTTTGTGGGACTGGAGATTGAACCCAGGGCCTTAACACTGAGCTACATCCCCAGGCCTTTTACTTTTTTCTGTTTGTTTTTTCATTTTTGTTCCAGAGATAGGGTCTTGCTAAGTGCTATGTAGCCCTGGCTGGGCTCAAACCTGCAATCCTCCTGCCTCAGCCTCCTAGAGTGCTGGGATTACAGGTGTACACATGTGTCACCACACGAGACTCTTTCCCTGTGTTTTTAACGCCCCTGGTTAACCCTCCGTGCCTGGTGTTCCTTCTCACATGGTAAAACTGGAGTCTCAAGGGACCAAAAGCCAGACTGAGGCCGCCTAGTGGCCATACTGACCAGCAGCCTTCGGCAGTACCCGAACCGCCTGCTCCCGTCTTCTCCGGTGAGGACAAACGAGAACGTCTCACTGTGGATGGGAGGACAAAGGCATTACAAGGCGAGCTGTCCAAAAGGCGCCTCAGCACGGTTGCAGTGAGGGTCAGGGACGGGCCAGCTGCCCAGTCCACTGCTGAGTGCTCATGACAGTTCCAAGGAAGCGCCAGGGAGGTCAGGTGCCAGTGTCTCGAGAGGGAATGAGGTTTCCACCCCGTTACGCCGTGACCTGAACCACCCACTGCACAGAACACAGCAGCTTTACTGTCATGGCTGAGGACACAGACCATGACCCCTGCATGACACAGCGCCCGACACCAGGCTGTCTGGCCTGCAGCACTCAGACACACACATGAGACAGCAGAGAGCTGGCAGCCATTGAACATGGAAGCCCAGGTGGGGACTGAGCCCAGAGCGGCACCGGCTCGGAGGCACTGAAATGTTTTGGCAGCGCCGGGTGAGGATGGCGACGGGCGACCCCTCTTTGCCTGGCATCATCTTCACAAGGGCTGTGGGGTGCAGGCAACCAGGAAACCCATGTGCTCACTCAGCAAGGCGCCTCTCCTCGCAGGGGCCTCTGCTCTGTTCTGTGGTACTGGGGCCTGAATCCAGGGCCTTCACACTGAGCTACATCTCCAGCCCTTTTGTTATTGTTCTATTATGAAAGGGGGCCTCACTGATTAAATTGCTAAGTTGCCCAGGCTAGGCTTGAACTTGTGGCCATCCTGCCTCACTCTCCCGGTTTGGCTCCGAGAAGTTGTACCCAGGCTGCAGGGGGAAGTGCCTGGGCCGGGCCCAGAGGGATTGCTGTGGCAGGGCTGCCTTCTGGGTGGGGTCGGCTCTCCACGGCCGCTCCCTGGGGAGGATGGGGAGGCTGGCGAGTACCTGGTGAACTGCTGGACAGGTGCCCAGTCCTTGGCGTCGGGGAAACAGAACTGCGGAATGGCCTTCAGCTGGTCCTCAGCCTCCCGCGTGAACTTGAAAGACCTTTCCAGCTGCAGAGAGGGGGCAGAAGAGGCTCGAGAATGAGCCCCATGCGGGCCAGTGAGGCCAGCGGCGGCCAGGACCTCATCTTCCGCCTTTCTGTGTTATGACTGTCCCTCAACCTCCTGCCTTGGCGAGGCTCGGTGGCTGTCTGTGGGGCCTTTTCCCCACAGGAGTCCAGCTACATACAGCCTTAGGGGGAAGTCAAGAAAACAGCATAATTTTGTTTGTTTTTTTGAGATAGGATCTCCTCATGGTAGCCCAGGTTGGTCTTGAACTCATGATGATCCTCCTGCCTCAGTCTCCCGAGTGTTGGGATTACAGGTGTGAGTCACCACGCCTGGCTGCAATGTTTTAGAGCGATGTTCTCTAGGCTGTTAGAACATTAACCATTCCAATCAGGAAGTGAAAGGCACCATGGTGGCTCCTTCCACGTGGGAGGCCCAGGGAGCTGGGAGGCACAATGAGCATCCCAATCCGCTCTTTCGCTCTCTGGGGCCAGGAAAGAATGTTGTGGCTCTCAGCGGACACATACAGCAGAACTGCATGATGTGGGGTGGTATGGGCCTGAAATCCCAGCACGGTGGGAGGCTGAGGCAGAAGGATCCCAAGTTCAAGCCCAGCCTGTGCAATTTAGCAACTTTGTGAGACCTTGTCTCAAAATAAGGGCTGGGGATCCATCCTCAGTAGCACACAAAAAGTTTTTTTTTCATTTTCTTGGTACCGGGGATCGAACTCGGGTCCTTGCACCTGCGCAACAGGCAGCAAAACCATTGAGCTAAACCCCGGCCCACAAAACAAATTTAAAAAAAATTATTATATGGGCTGGGGATTTAGCTCAGTGGTTCCGCCGCCTGCCTCACAAGCGAAGGTCCCGAGTTCTATCTCCAGTATCAAAATAAATAAATAAATAAATAATGATTATATAGTACCAGGAAACTCAGCTAATTTCACAGAGTCATTAAGTGTGGAACTAGAAAGGAACTAGACATCACACAGCTGTTCTTATTTCACAGATGTGGAAATACCCCGAGATGGTGTGGTATTTGTCTTGATTAACACGACCAGGGTGGGAGAAAAGCAATCCTTATCTCTGGCCTTCTCTCCTCTCTCTCTGTTATCCCAAAGAATACAGGAATACTGCCTCACTGAGGACCAGGAGAAATAAAGTCTGATTTAGAGATTTTTTTTATATATATATATATATATATATATATTTTTTTTTTTTTATACCGGGTATCGAACTTGGGTCCTTGTGCTTGCGCAGCAGGTGATGAAACCACTGAGCTAAATCCCCAGCCCTAGAGATTATATTTAAACTCACAAGAATGCTAGTTTCATGTAGGAACAGAAATCTGTTTTGTTTTGTTCTTTGGTGATGCTAGGGATGGAACTGAGGGCCTTGCTCATGCTAAGCTGGTGTAATAGGTTTTATTATAGTTAAAAAAAAAAAAAGACCAACCAGAGGAACAGAGCAGACTGAGGTGATTGACTCCAGCCTCAAAGCCACCTCCAGTCCAATTCCCCAGGCAGGCTGAATTCAACTCCAGCCTTAGGTGCATTAATACTGCAGCTACGACAGTGTCCAGCCCGAGAACCGCAACAGCTACTCACAGACTCAAAGCCACTTCCTGACGGTCTTTTAGTTTTTCCTTGTGACAAATAGTCACTACTTTCTTCTATATCATGGTCTCACTTCTATGCATGGTACTGAAGACCCCATGCATGGCCCAGGATGGTCTTTGACTTGACAATTCACTAGCTCAATGTTCCTAAAGTGCTTTTTTTCTTCATTACTGGGGATTAACCTTAGCGCAGGGACTCTGCACTGAGCTACATCCTCTGCCCTTTTTATTTTTCATTTTGAGACTGGGTCTCATTAGCTCCTAAGTTGCTCAGGCTGGGCTCAAAGTCACAACCCTGCCTTAGCCTCGAAGAGAGCTGGGATTACAGGTGTGCATCACCATGTCCAGCAAAAGCACTAATTCTTTTTTTTTTTTTGGTACCAGGGATCAAACTCAGGACCTTGTGCTTACAAGGCAGATGGGGCTCCACTGAGCTAAATCCCTGGCCCAAAAGCACTAGCTCTTGAGTTCTCTTACAGTGTCTTGGAAAGAGGCAAATACCAGATGTACATAATTACCAGAGTGAAGGCCCCAAATTATAAAGGACATAAACGGGGCTTGGGATTTAGCTCAGTGGCACCTCGCCTGCCTTGCAAGCACAAGGTCCCGAGTTCGATCCCCGGAACTCAGGATTTATTGGAAAATAAATAAATCAATTTATGGAAAATAAACAAATCAATCAATAGATAAAGGACATACAGGAAGGAACAATGACATCTTCCCACACAGGAGACATGTTCAAGCACTGAAGAGTCGACCTTGGAGAGAAGCAAGGTCAAGCAGTTTCCCACATGGCCGTGCACCCAACCAGCTCACAGGTACACACACAGGCACGGACAGGTGAGTGTCAGCCCGTCTGTGGACACACGCACATACATGCAACACGTCCATGAACTGTCATAAAGATACATGTGTGGGGCTGGAGGTTTAGCTCAGTGGTTTTGCCGCCTGCTGAGCAAGCACAAGGACCCGAGTTCGATCCCCAGTACCAAAAAAAAAAAAAAAAGATACATGTGTGATAATAAAAAAAACCTTTTGTTTGAGATTAAGTCTCACTATGTAGCCCAGGCTGGCCCTGAACTCAATCCTCCTGCCTTGGCCTCCTGTGTAGCTGGGATGGCAGGTGTGCGCCACCAGGCCCAGCTAGATTTATTCCTATGGCAGACCAAACTGAGGGCCATTTCCGAGGTCCTGAAGCCCAGGTCTTCCTCAGATTCCCCCACCTCCTCAAGTCCATGCCCCAGCCAGGCAATGGTGACAGTGCTACCGTGCCTTGGTGGCGGTGGCCAGCCCGATACCTTCAGAGGGAACTGCTGCGTGAGTTCCGGCACGTAGGCGGCCCCAGCCTGCTTCTTGTGCAGAGACACGACCACGAAGTACTCGAAGAGCTGCCTCTCCTGGTATTCGAGGAGCTCATGGTCAAGGGCTGGGTATTGAGGGGCCTGCTTCAGGCGAGACCTCACATTGACCAGGCGCCGGCTGTGAGCTGGGGACAGAGAGGGAGGATGGGAGGGACCTTCAGCGGGACACTGCTCCCTGCCAGGGAGCCGCAGTGCTTGTGCCCACACCTAGCTAATCTCCGGCACCCTTGCCAAACCTCGGGAGGAGCCAGGGACAGCCCTGCAGGCTAGAGACTCGCCCCATCTGTCCCCCCCCGCCCCGCTCCTTTCTGTCATCTTTCTGTTCCCAGGATGTGACCAAATGCAGAGCATGGGGCTTTCAGAAGTGCGAGTTTTGTAAACATCCCTGTGACGCAATGGCCAAGCCCGGTGGACCTGGGAGCCCCCATCTTGCTTTCCCCTGGGTTGGCCCAGGTCCCTGTTACCCTGCTCAGCAGCTCCAAGCCTGCTCTCTCTGCCTTCTCCCTGGGGACTGAGAAATCTCAGAAAACTCATGAAAGCGTGGACCTGGGTCCCCAGCGGTTAGGCCCTTGGGCACCAACAATTTCAAAAACTTCATCCTATAGATGAAGCCCCAGAGGCCCTGAGATCTTAAGAGAGTTCCTAGGTGTAGTGGCCCATGCCTGTGACCTCAGGACTCTGGTCCTGTACTAGGCTGGGGCCCAATGTCCTCTCAGCAAGCCTGGCAGGACCCACGTCTCCCCAGCAAACCTGGCGGGTCACATGCGTCCCTGGTGCTAGACAGCAAGGATCATGATGGTGGCACTGCTGTCCTTACCTTTTAGCTTTTCCTCAGTGTCACTGTCAGACTCACTGTTCTCTTCTGTCACTAGACGGAAACACAAGGCAAGACGTGCAAATGTGAGCTCTACTGCAGGAAACAGATCCAAAATTTCTAGTTCAGAGGGGACATTTTGCCATCTGTTCTAAGTAACAGACAAGCTCTGTCTTTGTCTAGCACAGTGGATTTCCAGACTACTTTGGATCTAGTTAGGTGGCAGCACCTGGCTCAGATCCTGTTGCTTTATTTGTGCTGAGCCAGGGACGCGGCTGCCACAGTCAGGCCAAGGCAGAGGGACCCACACATGTGCCACCCGGGCTCAGCTCCCGGCTCCTTGACCGTTCCTGGGGACGGCAGCACCATCTCAGTCCCCTCTGTGGTGACCCACAGAGCCAGCCCTGTAGCAGCTTCTAGGAAGCGTTTCTGGTGCTCAGGGGCAGGAGGAGGGTGGAGAGTTCTACCTTTCCCTGAGCCGCACTCCATGGACTGGGACAGCCTCTTCACCCGCTTCTTCCCTCTCCGGGCCTCATAGATGGCGTTGATGCGCAACACCAGCTGCAGACACAGGCGAGGAAGAGCCACCGTGACCCTCCAGGGTGCCAGCCAGTGTCCCCCACCCAGGGTGATGGAGCGGACATGCTTGGTGCTGCCTCCCGCTCTTGTAATTATCCATCCCTTTCTGCCACACGGGAATGACACAGCCACAAAAACTGCAGGGTGCTGTCCCCTGCTCCCCATAGGCCAACGTAGCCAGCTGAGACACACTCCTGTTGTGATGGCAGCTGTCCCTCTGACACTGATGTCACCATGGCTTGGGAAGGACCTTTTGGTCTCAAAATAAAACAAGAAAAGGAAGAGACAGAAAAACACAGTTCCCAGGCTGGGCCCCTACAGTGGGAATCATTCCAAGAATGCGAGTGGCCCTGACAGGGACAGGGTCAGAGCGTTACCAGTCCCCGAGCTGGCCACAGGAGTACGTGGGCCCTGGAGCACCCTGCCCTGTCTTTGGGGACAGTTCAGGGCCAGCCTCGTAGACCTTCCATGTGCTCCCAGAGGAGCCAGAGTGCCCTGGAAAGGCAGGGCATGGTGGTGTGCACCTATATTCCAGCACTTGGGAGGCTGAGACAGGAAGATTGCCATGAGTTCAAGGGCAGCCTGGGCTACAGTGAGAACCTGTCTCAAAAAACCAACAACAAAAAAGTGTACTGGGATCCTCTGTTATGTGACATAGTCCACCCAGGCTTCCAAGAAGGCCACCCAGCCCAGACAGCCACCACCCTGACCCTGCCAGAGCTGTTTCGGTGAACACCAGCAGCTGACGGGGGACACAGTCCTGCAGCAAAGGCAAGCTCTGCTCTTGCTTCAGACCAGCAACACTCTGGCACCCCTGGGGCACTTGCTTTCCCTTCTCTCCCAGGAGGCTGGAGATTGTGGGCTTCTGTATTTTGCTCTGCCAGAGGCCATGGGTTTGCTGTCAGAGTCCACATTCCCGGGATGTGCAATTCAGAAACCCACACAGACAGGAGCTCCACAAATGAAGGTTTTGTGTGGCACATGGAGTTATTCTTTTTTTTTTTTTTTTTTTGGTACCAGGCATCGAACTCGGGTCCTGTGGAGTTATTCTTATTATTTCATGTACAGAGAGCTGGACAGCCATGTGCCAAAGGTTGTATAACTTATTTTTAGAGATGGGATCTCGTTGTGTTTCCCAGGCTGGTTTTGAACTCTGAAGTACAAGAAATACTCCTGACTCAGCCTCCTGAGTAGCTAGGACTATAGGGGTATGCACCTGTGTCCAGCTTATCGTTTTTTATCTGTATAAATCAGTGAGCAAAAATATAGGATGGAGGATGGGGATGTCAATCAGGGGTAGCATGTGTGCTCAGCACATGCAAGGCTTTGGGTTCCCCAGTACTGCTCTCTTCCAAAGGATGGTAATCATTTTCCATGTTCTATGAATTTTTTTTTCTTTTTTGGGGGGTACCAGGGATCGAACTCCAGACTTTGTGCTTGCAAGGCAGGCGCCGGAACCACTGAGCTAAATTTCTAGCCCGTTCTATGAATATTTTAATGCTTATTATTTACGTTGCTATTTTATTTTGTTTCATTTTTTGAGACAGGGACTCACTGTGTAGTTCAGACTGGCCTTGAACTCCCTGTGTAGCCTGGCCTGCCCTGAACTCACAGAGATCCTCCTACCTCAGCCTCCCAAGGGCTGGGATTACAAGTGTGTACGACTACATCTGGCCCCTTTATTTTGAAACCAGGTTTTGCTAAGTCACTCAGTTGCCCAGGGTGTGCTCAAATTTGTAATCCTCCTGCCTCCATCTGCTGAGCGCTGGGATTACAGTGATTCACACAAAATCAACATGCAACCTGCAGTCTTTGGTGGAGCTCAGGGGTACAGAGCTTGCACAGAGTGCGAAAGGTCCTGGGTTCTACCCCAGGACCATACAGAACTAGTCAGGGAGGAGGAGGAGGGGCCGAGGGTGGGCACCTACCTGCCCCTCTCTCTGCCTTCTAGCAACAGAACGTCGGGAGTTTTGCCCCTTCCCACACGCAGCCCCAGGGCTGCAGGTCTTAAGCCTGGCCCTGCACCTGACCCCGACTGCCCCACCCCTCCCTGCATGCGCAGAGCCAAGGTGATCTGAGCTCACTTTAACAAAGTGCTGGGGCAGGGCCGGTCTGTGGAGTCCTCGCCCAAAACTGATTGATCAAACTCTGTCTGGTATTAGAAGAGTAGTGGAGGCAGGGAGAGGGACGGCTAAGAGGAAGGCCATGGGACTAAACGATCAAGGGGGCCGGGGATTTAGCTCACTGGTGCCATGCCTGCCTTGCAAGCACAAGGTCCTGAGTTCAATCTCCGTTATGGGGGCAGGGGGGCAGGGTATGGTTCTGGTAAAATAATGATCAGGACCTAGGCCTGGGTGTCCCAGCCTGCTGGGTTCCTGCGTCTTCCTTGCCTTTGGGGATACAGAGCGGAGGACCAGAGCTGGGGCCCTCCCAGCCTCCTCTACAGAGAAGGGGAGCACGCTGGAACCGGAAGTTCACTGCAAGCATTACCTTGGGGATCTTTCTCTTCTTCCTCCCGTTCTGTAGGTCTCCGAGGTTAAAGACAGTGTCATCGGGGCTGCTGGGAGTGGAGGGTGGGCTGGTTTTGGGAGGGGACCCTGCTCCATCCCGACTCAACTTCCTCACATCCAGCAGTCTGAAGTTCCTCCTCTCTGAATTTTGCCAGAAAAAAGCAGGTTTGGACAATGACTGCTGTGAGGGAAGAAGAGAAAGCAGAGTAATCAATACCAAGGGGATGAACTGGAGGCAGCTGGAGGTGCTGGTGATGGAGAGCATGGGTACAGACAGGCGCTGGAGTGCTAAGGACGGAGACGGCTCCCCGCCCGGCTCCATCTGACTTTACAGATGAGTCCTGTGGGTCCCCCCCCAGTACTGGGGAGTGATCCCAGGTGTTTGCTACCAATGAGCTACATCCTTTTTTGGGGGGGTACTGGGGATCAAACTCAAGACCTTGAGCTTTTGAGGCAGGTATGGCACCACTGAGCTAAATCTCCCCCCTGAGCTACATTCTTTTTTGTATTTATTTTGTTTCGTTTTTTGAGACAGGGTCTCGCTATATAGTTCAGACTGGGCTTGAACTCACAGCGATCCTCCTGCCTCGGCCTCCCCAGTGCTGAGATTACAGGCATGTGCCACCATGCCCAGCCCAGATGGGACTTTCTGACAATCCAAGGCATATGTATTGGCAGACACAGCTAAGCGTGGCTGTATCCCTGTGGTAGCTCTGTGCGAACTCAGTTTCTTTTCTTTTCTCCTCCTCCTCTTTCTTTTGCTGCTGATTAACTGAACCCAGGGAGAGAGGAGATTAGGGTGTGGCAAAACTGGCTGAAAAAGGAGGCTGACCTATTAAGTACAAGATCTTGGACACATGCGCAGCGCAGTTCCCAAAGCCCTGCCTGTGGGGTTCTCAATAGGAGGCCTAGCTAGACTTGACCTCAGCCTGAGAGGTGGAATACCAGCACTGCCTCTCAGGACCTGGATGTAGAAGCTCTCATGGGTTTCCTCGAGATTTGGACAACAAATAAGGACATGGACCCCAAGAAGCGCTTGCTATCCTGGCTTTCCTCATGACAGCTCACGCTGCTTCCTCCAGGGTGTCCTTTGACTTGCTTTTTCCTCTTTTACTCTGCCCAAGCTTGCTCTGCAGAGCCAGTTTTCCCCTCGCTCTCAACTTTTACTTTTTCAAATAAACTTTGCCACTGCTTTTTGCTCATTTCATTCAGTTCTTTGTGCAAGATGGGAAGAACTGCCAGGAGAGGCCAGCAACCTAGAGCCCGGAAATATTTATTAGGTGAGCCACTTTTAGAAGGGGCTACCCAATATCACCACAGCCTTTTGTGTGTTAGGCACACACACTACTATTGAGGCACACCTCCATCCCTAGTATCTTACTTCCAAAACCAATTTTTTTTTGGTACCGGGGATCAAACTTGGGACCTTGTGGTTGTGAGGCAGGCGCTGGAACCACCGAGGTAAATCCCTGGCCCTCAAAACAACTTTTTAAAAAGTGAAAAGTTACAGTTGGGAGTGGTGGTGGATGCCTGTAATCCTGGCATTCAGGAAGCTGAGGCAGGAGGATGGCTTGGAGTTTGGGGTCAGCCTGGGCTACAACATGAGGTCCTGTCTCAACCAAAAAGAAAAAAGAAAGGTCAAACAAAAAACCTGTTACAGGGCTGGGGATTTAGCTCAGTGGTTTTGCTGCCTGCTGTGCAAGCACAAGGACCAAGTTCAATCCCCAGTACCAAAAAAACCCCAACCTGTTATAAAATTTAGAGGCCGGCAGTACAGCATTTGCCTAGCATGCATGAGGCCCTAGGTTCAATCCCCAGCACAGCAAGCAAAAGGTTTTACAGTTCAACACAGGACTCATTTTCCTGATATTAAAACAAACTGAGAAAAAGATTAACAAGTTAAAAAAAACAGGCAAAAGAATGGAAAGTTTATAGAAAAGGAAATACAATGATTCTAAGATATATGAATAGATTCGTAGTTTCACCTATAAAAGAAAACTAAAACTGCTGAAACATTTTTCACTCAGATTAGCAAAGGTTAAAAAAAAAGATAATTTAAATCAGGCGTTTTGGCCCATGCCTATAATCCCAGCACTGAGGAGGCTGAGGCAGGAGGATTATGAGTTTGAGGTCAACCTGAGCTATACTGTGAGTTCAAGGCCAGCCTGGACTTCATAAGAGATCCTTTTTCAGAAAACCATACCCGCTGGGCAAAGTGGCACACTCCTGTAATCCCAGCAATCAGGAGGCTGAGGACAGGAGGACTGCCATGAATTTGAGGCCTATCTGGGCTCCACAGTGAGTTCAAGCCACCCTCAACTACATATGGAAACCCTGTCTCAAAAAACAAACAAACAAACCGCCACCACCAATAACAGAAATCCAAAGCAAAACAAAAAGCAAGCAAAGAAATGCCAGCCTAGGCCATGATAACTCACTGGACATGATGGTGGTACATGCCTGTAATCCTAGTATTGAGAGCTTGAGGCAGGAGGGTTGCAAGTTTGAGGGCAGCCTGGACAAGCTAGTAAGATCTTGTCTCAAGATTTAAAAATCATTGCTGCCTGCCCCACAAGCACAAGGTCCTGACTTGGACCCCCAGTACCAAAAAAAAGAAAGAAAGAAGAAGATTTAAAAATCAAAAGGGCTGGGGTTGTAGTTCAGTGGTAGAAAGGCCCAGTTCAATCCCCGGTACTGAAAAAAAAATTGATAACTTGCCTCCCAAACTATGAGAAAATCAATTTCTGTTGTTTAAGACATTCTCCCCAATTTGATAACTTCCCGTGTTGGTGAAAAGCAGAGACAAAATCACTTTCACACAGCACCGGTGGGCATATAAACCGGTCCAACTCCATGGAGCACCTAGTGGTATTAAAATGACAAAGCATGTGCCCTTTGTTTCAGCAATTCCGCCTTGAGGAATCCCCTCCTCAGACACATATGTTTGTGCCAGGTACAAGTTATATTGTACAAAGTATATGGTATGCTGTGACATGGTTTGTAATCACAAAATATTGGAAACAACATAAATGTCTATCAACAGAGGCTGGTTAAATAAATTACAGTACACACAGTAGACCACTATGATAGCAAGGGTCAAATTTTTTTGTACTCTTAGGGAAAGTTCTCTCAGATATATACTATTATGCATAAAAAGTAAGGTATAAAATAGTACAATATGCAATTTTTGTGTCTGTGTTGTAAGAAACTGCTAGCATATGTGTAGAATAGTTTTGGAAGAATAGTTCTGCATAGATCAAGATATTGATTCACCATAGCTGCTCTGGAAGAGAAAAAAGTGGGACAAAGGCAAGAGAAAAATCTTCATTGTCTACTCTGTGTACTCTTTGAAGTATGAACTACGTGAATCTATTACCTATCTATTACGATAAGAAAGTATAGCCAGGCATGGTGGTGCACACCTGCAATCCTGCACTCCTGGAGCTGAGACAGAAGACTGAAATTCAAGCCCAGCTTGGTCAACTTAGTGACTCACTGAGACTTTGTTTCAAAATAAAAAATATAAAAGGGGGTGGGGATATAGCATAAGGCAAAGGCCCTAGTTTCACTCCCAGTACTGTGGAAATCAGCAGTATAATACATCACAAACAGAAGCAAGGACAAAATTCACATGATCACCTGAATAGGTGCAGAAAAACAAAATCCAATATCCATTCATGATAAAACCCTGAAGAAAAGGGGTATAGAAGGACCTTCTCTCACTCTGATAAAAGCTATTTATTACTCAAATTTTTTTTTTTTTTTATTTGGTACCGGGGATTGAACTCGGGTCCTTGCACTTGCACAGCAGGCGGCGAAACCACTGAGCTAAATC